GCTTAGATCTCTCGCTGCCAAATTTCTCAAAGTCTGAGGTAAAGGATGGACAAGCCACTTACTTCTAGTTTGATAATTGGCTTGGCATCGGCCCTTTAACTGATATCACAGGGGATGTTGGTACGAAACTAGTTGGAGTAAATAGAAACGCAAAGGTCTGTGATGTGATCCGAGGAAATGAATGGGCATTACGACGCAACCGAAATACGAAAGTGCATGAAATAATTTCTCATTTACGACAAGTCTCTGTTCCTCACCACCAAGCTAGAGAAGATCGAGTGCTATCGAAACAGAAATCAAATACTTGTGACTACAAGTTCTCCTCAAAACGGACATGGCATCAAGTCAGAGAACAAGCTCCTTTAGTAAGCTGGCACCAACTTGTTTGGTTTCCCCAAGCAATTCTGAGACAATTTTTCATCACTTGGCTCGCTTGTAGAGACAAACTATCCACGGGTTCGAAAATGAGACAGTGTGGTCATTTTCAAGCATGTATGATGTGCGGAGAACAAGACGTGACTAGAGACCATCTATTCTTCGCTTGTCCATAATCATACATGATCTGGGATAATCTTTGCTCAAATTGGCTTGCGGCTCAGCTTAATCCTGATTGGAATTTGACGATTCGTTCTCTCCAACGAAACACTCTTTCCCCCTTTGGATTCTATGCTAACTCGTTTGGCTTTGGACATGGAAGGAGAGGAATGGGCGTCGTCACAAGCGGCCACACCATCCTCCTGCTATGTATTTGATTCATGTGATTCGTAAGGAGATACGAAATCGGCTCATCTCCCTCAACAATGAAGACATAGGCGATGCAAATGAAACTCTTGTGAGATGGAATGTTATCTCGCAAAGTTGATACTTTGTTACTTTCTTTTCTCATCATGTAGTCTTTTTCAGTGAGCCGGATTAGAACACGTTGGATTAAACATTTGTAGCTTTTTTTTTGTTGATAAATAAATTACATTTCAACAAAAAAAAAAATTGCAGTGGATCTTTTTGCGTTGATAACATACTTGTCACTAGAATACTTTTTGCAGTGGATATTGTGGTCTCGGATATCGAGGAAATATCATTCTGGTAAGTTGCTAATTCATATGCTTCCACTGATGAACTCTACTTGATGAATGTTGACCATTGAGCTGTCCATAAATTGCTTTTGCCTCACCACAGAATGTAACTCTTTGGAAACCCCATCTCTTAACTTACACAATAGCTTCTCTAAGAGCATACGTCTCAGTTTCCATTGCATTTCTCATTGGTTGAAGTTAAGGGATCCTTTAAAAGCTTACCTTCTAGAATCATCAGCATCCATCCAAACTCAGCTCTATTATTGGCAGAACTCCAAGATGCATCTACAAAGCAACAAAATCTATTAGCTTTGTTTATAGCTTCCATCAATTGTCATTAGTGCGCTTTCTCCAGTATTCGCTTCAAGTTTATGTTTTGTTAATGGGTTTCCTCTCTTGTTTTCACTCTGAGAATTCGCATCTATCCATAATTTCTGATTCAATAGAGCTTTGTTTATAACTTCTAGTGTAGACCACTTCTTAACATGGAAGATAAGATTATTTCTTGCTTTCCAATATCTCCACCCAATATAAAAAAAAAAGTTCCATCGGAACATTAGCATTAGAGATATTGGAAAGAAGAAGTGATATACTACCTTCAATGTCGTCTCATGCCTCGTTGTCTCTTATAAATATGTTGGTTGGGGAGAATTCCCATATCTCTTTAAAGAATCTACACTAGAATAACAAGTGATTAATGCTTTCACAACAGAATCATCAACCCTTAGCTTTATATTCTTTAGATTCTCTGTTATAGGTATTGCATTATTTATAACCCTGCACCAGAAATGTTGCAGCGTGGCGGGGGAGAATTCAGCTTCCAAATCTTCTGATATAGCTCGGACACCCTATTCTGGTTGGTGTTATGAAAGAGATTGTAACCGGAATTTACAGCATATTTCCCACTCTTAGTGTAGGTCATGTAATGATATCATGTGTATTGGTTAGATTATGATTGATATATACACTTTATTATTCGAGTATCTTCTGGGTTTAGTAAAGAGTTTAACTTTTCTTCATCCCATTGAGTTGAATCTGAAAGAAAGAGCTTTAATACTTTTATTTATGGATTCACACTAACATTCTCATGCAAAGGCTTTGGAGGCTTTACTGGCCTGGATGCTAGAGATTCATTGGTCATTCCAAAAACGTTTGGATAATATAATATTACCTTGACAGATACTCCTCCATGCATAGCTAGGTCTATGCCCTTTCTTAGCTTCCAATAATATGAATTTAGAGAAATATTTTGCCTTGTAGATTTGCAAATTTTACATTATTCTCCAGTTTTGCTTGGCTAAAAAAGCTATATTAAAATCTTTGATATCTCTTATACGGTTATAGAGATATAATGGATAATATAATTTGCTAAACATGTTAGGATTCAATATCCATTATTTGAGTTTTTTTAATTTGATATAAATGTAAAAAATAAGACATATATACAACCAAAATATATCAAACAAAGTTCATTCATAGAACCTCTATAATAAAATCTAGATGCTTCTCCTCTCAGAAACACTGGTAGAATCCAACGGCCCATCTTCAATCCTCTTCTGGAAACTTCAACTGGGTTCCACATTTTTCTTCCTCCTCCCCACCACCTTCTCTCGTATTTTTCTTCTACTATATCTCTTCCTCCTGCTTCCTTTGCTTCCCCCACTCCCAATTTTGCTTCTTTCCGTCACTATTGTTTCTTATTGAGCTCGAAAATGGCTTCTTCCGCCGCCCAGATTCACGTTCTCGGCGGAATCGGATTCGCCACTACTTCCTCTCCCAAGAGGAATCTCAATAACAAAGCCAGCTTCATGCCCAGAAGCGCCTTCTTTGGCACGAGGACAGGCCCTTTCTCGACCCCTACTTCAGCCTTCCTCAGAATGGGAAGCAGAAATAGCGGCGCCTCTAGGTACGCGGTAGGTCCGGTGCGGGTGGTTAACGAGAAGGTTGTTGGAATCGATTTAGGTACGACTAACTCCGCAGTCGCTGCAATGGAAGGAGGCAAGCCCACGATTGTCACCAACGCTGAGGGTCAGAGGACCACACCTTCCGTCGTGGCCTACACCAAGAGCGGCGACCGGCTCGTCGGCCAGATTGCAAAGCGCCAAGCCGTCGTTAATCCCGAGAACACTTTCTTCTCCGTCAAAAGGTTTATCGGTAGGAAGATGAACGAGGTAGATGAAGAGTCTAAGCAGGTTTCCTACAGAGTTGTTAGGGATGAGAACGGGAATGTCAAGCTCGATTGCCCTGCCATTGGCAAACAATTTGCTGCCGAAGAAATTTCAGCTCAGGTACTCATTGGATGCAGGATACTTCTGTCTGTTATGTTTCGTCTTCTTCAACTTGTGAATAGTGTTTCTTCTTGTTCCATTATACCTGATCATCTCTTTCTTGGAACTCTATTGTGAATACTTTCTTTCTTATTAGTATGTGTCTGGTGTAGGTTTTGAGGAAACTCGTGGATGATGCCTCCAGATTCTTGAACGACAAAGTAACCAAGGCTGTTATCACTGTCCCTGCTTACTTCAACGACTCACAGAGGACCGCTACAAAAGATGCTGGTCGCATTGCCGGCTTAGATGTTCTTCGTATTATCAATGAGCCAACAGCTGCTTCGTTGGCTTATGGGTTTGAGAAAAAAAGTAACGAAACAATTCTAGTCTTTGATCTTGGTGGTGGTACCTTTGATGTCTCAGGTACTTTCCATTACAGTTTTTGCTTAAATCAACCCTTTATATATATCCTCTTGAGAATCTGTATATGTACATACTTATATTTTTCTTTGTGTGGCTTCTACGTTCTTTTGATGTATTAGCTCTATATAATATGTATTTTGCTTGTTATGTTTCTTATTATGCAGTGCTTGAGGTTGGTGATGGTGTCTTTGAAGTGCTTTCCACTTCTGGCGACACGCATTTGGGAGGCGATGACTTTGACAAGGTGAGTTAGAAAGCACACATTAGTCTTAAAGTCCTTAACCATACACTTTGAGCCTGTTTACTCTTTCTTCTGTGCTTTACTTGATGGATTCAAGTTTTGCAATGCAGAGAGTTGTCGATTGGCTTGCTTCAGATTTCAAGAAAGATGAAGGCATAGATCTGTTGAAAGATAAGCAAGCACTTCAGAGGTTAACAGAGGCAGCAGAAAAAGCTAAGATTGAGCTTTCCTCGCTGACTCAGACAAACATGAGGTACCAATAACTTTCTTGCGCAATATTTTTCCATTCAGTATTTTCACAAGCATGTGGGTTTGAATAGCTGTGAATTCTGTGCCCAGCTTGCCATTTATCACGGCCACAGCCGACGGACCTAAACACATTGAAACAACCCTCACGCGTGCCAAGTTTGAAGAGTTGTGTTCAGATTTACTTGACAGGTAGTTTTAGTTGCAGATCTTATGGCTGATATTTATTGTTTGGGCCAGTGAACAGAGTGCTGTGCTCGTTCTTTACCTTTTGATTACTCATGGAGCCTTAAGATTCTTATCCATGTATCTATTTTATAGGTGTAAGACTCCCGTTGAGAATTCCCTGAGGGATGCAAAGCTCAGCTTCAAAGATATTGATGAAGTGATCCTTGTTGGTGGATCCACACGCATTCCTGCTGTTCAGGAACTCGTGAGGAAGCTGACTGGGAAAGAACCTAATGTCACAGTAAATCCTGATGAGGTTGTCGCTTTAGGTGCTGCAGTACAGGTGCGTTCTCGCAAACTTGTAATTTTCACCTTATTCAGGTCTCGATTGTTTCAAAAGCAGTTTCTGGGTTTGCATTTGCGTTTACAGGAGAGAAGTACTGAAAAGAATTCACATTTTTGAAATATTAAATGTTTACAACGTTAAATGCACGTGCAAAGTGAAAGGTTTTGTTTTGCGTTTGTGGGTTTCATTTGGGAACATAATCTACTAAATGTAAACGCAAATGCAAACAAACAGTTGAGGCTGTAGTCGTAATAACCTTGTGGAAAATTAGTCACGTTTTACTGGAATGTGTTCTTATTGAGTGCCATTCTTTTGTGCTCTAGGCTGGTGTTCTGGCTGGAGATGTGAGTGACATTGTGCTTCTTGATGTGACACCGCTTTCGATTGGTTTGGAAACCCTTGGTGGTGTTATGACCAAGATTATTCCAAGGAACACTACGCTGCCTACTTCTAAATCAGAAGTATTTTCTACCGCTGCTGATGGACAGACAAGTGTTGAGATCAACGTACTGCAGGGTGAGAGAGAATTTGTTAGGGATAACAAGTCTCTTGGCAGCTTCCGTCTGGATGGTATTCCACCGGCACCACGGGGAGTTCCACAAATTGAAGTCAAATTCGACATTGATGCCAACGGAATCTTATCAGTCAGTGCCGTTGACAAAGGCACTGGAAAGAAACAAGACATCACCATTACCGGTGCGAGTACATTACCCAAGGACGAGGTGCGTACAATTTACAAATCAACGCTTCAATTATTTAACAAAAAGTGGGAGTAGCTATGTCTACATCATTGCATAGCCTTTGTAAGGTGTGGTTCTTTACGTGAATATTCATTATTGATGGTAACAAAAGTTGGTGTGGATGAACGTTACAGGTGGACCAAATGGTCCAGGAAGCAGAAAGGTTCGCAAAGGATGACAAGGAGAAGAGAGACGCGATTGACACAAAGAACCAGGCAGATTCGGTGGTGTACCAAACAGAGAAGCAACTTAAAGAACTTGGAGAGAAAATACCAGGTGCAGTGAAAGAGAAGGTGGAGGCAAAGCTGCAAGAGCTGAAAGACAAGATAGGAAGTGGATCGACCCAAGAAATCAAAGATGCCATGGCTGCTCTTAACCAAGAAGTGATGCAGATTGGTCAGTCTCTGTACAACCAACCTGGGGCAGGAGCAGGAGCAGGTACTTCCCCTGGTGGTGAAGACGCCTCATCAGCAGGTCCATCGTCAAGTAAAGGTGGAGATGGTGATGATGTGATCGATGCTGACTTCACAGACAGCAAATGAGACAACAAAATAGGACAGACAGCTTTGAATTCTATGCATCGGACGCAGTGGGTGTGGTGTGTAATGCACATGATTTTGTAGGTTGAATGATATGGTGAGATGAGACGCATGAATTAAAGCATATATGCTTGTGAACAAAATTTATTTGTCCTTAGAAAGAAACACAGACTGATGATGTTTTTTACAAAATAATAATATATTGCAGCCTTCTTTCCACACAATACTTACTGATGTTTGGGAAGCAGACTTCAAACACTTCAAACTATACTTAGCCAATGTTGAGTCTCTGGAGGGCGAGAGTGGCAAACAAGATGGACACTCCAAATAGAGTTCCAACTCCACTTTGGGAAATCGATATTTTCTTTTTGTTCATGTTACCAGATGGCATAAAACACCAACACCCACATTCCTCTCCTAAAATGAACCCAATTACATTGACATTTTGACTTGAGCATTGGGAGATCCTAAGAGAATGCAAATTTTTCTGTCTTCCATCTTGCACATGATATTGTGGTAGAGAAATGCTAGAACATATCCACGAGTATTTCAGTTAACGAACATATAAAGTATGAAAAATAGACCTTATACACCTACAATTGGAAATGGAATAGTAGATGCAACTTGGTTTCTTATGTGGGAGATTTGAAATTGCTATTGAAATCGCAAGATAGATAAGCAAGTGATGAAGAAAACAAAGCGGAAACTGACTCAGATCAACATTCGTTGCAGTAAGCGTTCACCCAATGTCAATGCCTTATGATCATATGCGATCTTACTGGATTGTACAAGGATTTATATGAATACATCGAAACTTAGCACTTTGAATACCTTAGTCGTGTAAGGAGATGAATTATTTGACAACGGTATTTGTTTGGTATTAGTTGTTTGGTAGAGATCTAAGTTTGACAACGGTATTTGTTTGGTATTAGTTGTTTGGAACATAGCGTAAATTTCGGAACATGTATTATTAATGTATCGGAATTTAATGTATCGGAATTTACACAATCACCATGGGATATAGCGTAAATTACGGACGTAAATTTGCTCCTTTGAATTGGTCCCTTACACGAGATGGGCTTCTCTTTTTCTACGGGGTCTTTTGGATTGGGGCGAAATAGGTCTGGGCCGGCTTGTTCTAATGAAGACCCATGCCCATCAGTAGCATCTAAGTCGGCGAATCAAGGTGGACCGAGTTTGGCGTTTCTTGCGGGCTTGACTCAAGGTTTTATTTTAGCCCAGTTTTTAGTGGTCTCTTACTGGTCGAGAGAACGGTGGTTATGTTTACGAGGCATGACGCTTCGTCTTCTGAGCTATATATTCTGCTCTCCCCGCCCCCTTCATTCTCAGTACTTCTCCGAATTCTTAAAGCAAATTTCCCATA